ATAAAAGATGTATGTCAATATAATTAATTTTTAGATAAAAATCACACAAGTTTAAAGAATACAGCATATATTTAAAACAATGAAAAAATTAATAAACCTAATGGAAATGGTATGATTATTGTGATAAAATAGTTAATCATTTGTTTTTATTTAATACATAATTATTTTTAAATGATTAAAACATTTAAGAAGCATCTTTAGGATAAGAAAAAACAATTAAATATCATTCTTAAAACCTCTTTGGTTATGAATGCAGATGGCATTAAAAATTTAATGTTTTTTATTTATGGAAAAATGTTTTTCAAGAAATTCTCAACAAATAATTTACTTCTACTAAATTATAATAATAATCATCATTTTTTATGGAAATTGATTATAAATATAGGATTAATGTATATGCTGCTGGCTAGATCTGAAGGATTGGCAACATTAGCATTAATGCCAAATAATTGCTGGATTTTATCAAGCTAAATTAATGCTACTATTAACACTAGAATTGCCCAGGAAGGTAAAATTGCCAACAGTGTTTTTGGCATTGTCCAAAATAAAGCTTTATTTCAGATTTTTCCTGAAAACAAATTAGGCAAACTTAAGATTGCCTAAAGAGATTTTTGCAATGTCTGAATATGATACCAGTCGACCCCCTATAACACTGTTGATTATTCCGTTTTATATGAATCCCATGTTGTACGAGTCACTTAGATTTTACAAATACATGAGCCATTCACAGCCCGGCACACGTATTTGTAAAATCTAAGTGACTCGTACAACATGGGATTCATATAAAACGGAATAATCACCAGTGTTATAGGGGGGTCGACTATATTTTTGTTTGCATATTGCCTACTTTCTATCTCAACTTTGTAGAAGCCATAAGCCATCATCAGTCAACTCCATAACCAGTCCTATAATATTTCTATGATAGAAAAAAAGACAGGTAGAAAACATGATATCAGTTTCTGATAATAAATTTCAAAAGAACAATGTGGGTAAATCTATAACTGTGTTGGTACCATACTTTGATTGATCAAAAGGAGATACAAGAAATATTGGACTGGCTTTGAAGTTGACTGATAATGATTTCTATAAAGCTGGAATAAAAAGCAGATAACATGCAAACAAAAATATCAAATTCAGACATTGCCTAAACCTCTTTAGGCAATCTTAACTTTGCCTAATTTATTTTCAAGCAGTTTGAAATAAAATTTCATTTTGGACAATGTATAAAACACTGTCAACAATCTTAACTTTGCTGAGGCAATCCTAGGATTGTCAATCCTTTGGACCTTGCAGGTAACATATATCTTTTTGTAGGCCTGCAAATATTAATCCTATATTTCTATACTAGTATGTTATATACTTATGTGACATTGATGTGTCAAACACAAGCACATAATATGTAATATATAGAATGATACGAGGTTTTATTTGCAGTTAAGAAGCTTGAAATTCATGGACATTTTTTTCAAGTTTCTGAACTGTAGGTAAAATTTTGTGAATAGCAAGATTGAGGCCGAAGTTTTAAATGTGAAAACGTACGTCGGACGTTCAGCGCTGCTTTCCTGTCAGCCTAGAAAGTTTGACAAAGGTGTTTGGATAATCAGTGGAATCATGCTCAACATTTCAAACACCATTGTCAAACTTCTAGGCTTACAGGAAAGCAGCGCTAAATGTCCGACGTACACATTTCCATGTTTAAAACTTCGGCCTCAACCTCGCTAATAACTTATATATTGTGTTTACTATCATATATTGATATATCATACGTACAAAATATTTATCAGAATAGCATCTGTCTATACAAAGTATCTACTTGAATAACTTCCAATTCTATCTTACTGTTTTAAGAACTAAAATTTCATGAAGCTTAAAACATACTAAACAGCCTATATATTATATATAACCTAATTTATCACAACTACCAAAATTGCTTTTATCTTATAAAATGACTGATTTTTATCTATAATATCAAACATTTAAAGCAGATATATTCATTGATATTGCTCATTATAATTTTATAAAAGTAAAATTTATTTCATTAAATAATTGTTATATAAATATGTAAATGATTCTCCATATAAAACAGTTTTCTACAAAAGATTCAAATGCTATTAATTTTATATTAACCTTACTGTACTTTATAATAATCAAAATTTTTTTTACAATTTTAAAATAAGTAATTGTGTTATGAAAAACACACAAATATAAATATTATGAATATGTTTTTCCTCACATTAATAAATGATATGGTCTGTTAGATCAAAATTTATCTATATATCAAATAAAATTAAGGCTTAATTTTAATATACTATAATATTTATTATATAATGCTTCCTGTGAGACTTAATCTTTTATACAGCAATTAAATGCAATTGTAATAATAATGTAAAACATAATTAAACATAATTATAATAGTAAAATCACTAGAGCTGGAAGCATAAAAGATGTATGTCAATATAATTAATTTTTAGATAAAAATCACACAAGTTTAAAGAATACAGCATATATTTAAAACAATGAAAAAATTAATAAACCTAATGGAAATGGTATGATTATTGTGATAAAATAGTTAATCATTTGTTTTTATTTAATACATAATTATTTTTAAATGATTAAAACATTTAAGAAGCATCTTTAGGATAAGAAAAAACAATTAAATATCATTCTTAAAACCTCTTTGGTTATGAATGCAGATGGCATTAAAAATTTAATGTTTTTTATTTATGGAAAAATGTTTTTCAAGAAATTCTCAACAAATAGAGATGGAACTAAAATGGTTTTTGCATTAGAATCCTATTTAATTCTTTTATTAATGTATAGTTCAAAATTGAATTCATTTATTACCTACGATTTTAAAAGTTCATAAAAAAATTAACAAAATCGATTTTCAAAATTCTGAACTGTAAATTAATAAAAGAATTAAATAGGACTCTAACACAAAATCCTTTTTGGTTCCATCTACTTCCATTTTCGAGAATTTTTAGAAAAGGATTTTCCCCATAGAAAAAGGATTACATTTTTAACACCATCTCTTGTAGATTGTTGCATAACCAAAGAGGTCACAATCAGCCTTAATACTTTCTTTCAAAAAACATATTAAAACTGGAGTAACAAAGACTGTACCACTGAATATTGAGATGAAAATCTAAAAATGTTTTACTAATCTTTTAACAGCATAATGACTTTTAATACTGAAAAACAATATTTATAGAAAAATAGTAATATTTCATGGAATGTAACATAAATCAAAACTAGAGTATATGTAATAAACAGTATTTTTAACTTAATTCAATATTTTAAATGACATTATACATAATAATTTAATCAAATTTTTATTAATTAATAATCAAATTTGTGACAAAATATCTAAATTTCATGTGAACAATCTATTAACTAAATGAATATTCTGTAGCCAACATTATTCTTAAATTAAAATCTCAAACCATCAATAATTTTAAAAATTCATATATTATTTTTCATAATAATTAATTATTTAAAAAAAATCTTCAAATTCCTCATGTTTATAATCATTTTTAGAAATTTAAATTATTTTATTGACATAAAAATTACAATCAAGTTTATATTACTTTTTATTCTTATCTCATATTATATACTTTTGAATTCTGAATATCTGTTTTATAAATTTCATTTAATATATAATGTAAGTTTGAGTTTTATAATTCCAATTTCCAGAATTCCTCAAAAAGTCATATAATAATTTTAATTTGATCATTATGCTACTGAAAAAGTTAAGAATTATAATAACAAAACAATTCTAAATGCATATTGAAATTGCTTTGAAGTATTTCGACAAATCAATTTAATTGCGGAAGCTATAAAAATAGTATTCAAAACAGAAAATGCCAAATATTTTGATTGTCTCAACATAATAATTAAGAATATCACGGATTATATTTAAAAGAATATAAAAATTATTAAGAAATTAATTATGCATATTCTCTATTTTATAATTTTGAATTATTTTTAAAAAAGATAGGTGTGTGTGTATATATATATATCTCTAAATCAGAAATAAAATCTCTCTTTAAAAAAGGATTTATTAAAAATATAATAATTATGCATCTATACATTCAAGTTATTATTTAGGTATATTCAATATAAAAGCAATGTACAGATATAATAAATTATGTTATTAAAATTATACACAAACATTTAAGTATTTGTAGAAATATATCAAACAAATCATATTTAAAATGAATTTATTTAAAAGAAATGTTACATCGGTAATTGATGAAACAGAATCAGTTATGTTTCTTATAAAATGTGAGAAAACTGAAAATTACTTCATTAGAAATTCAAAATATAAATTGAAAAATATCTTGTGAATTATGTTCATTAAATTACATAATGTGTCATACAGAAAAGCAAACATCATAATAATAATAAATAATTTGCAGAAAAATATGAGTATTTTAGCATATTGATGAAGAAAATGTGAACTGAAACTTTTTGACAGATTAATATTTCAAAATAAAAACATGACAATGAAATTCCTTATTAATAATTTTTAAAAAGGGTGTGTTTTAAAACAAACATTTTATGAATTTAAAATTTGATGGAACAAATGTTGAGTGAAAAAGTACGAAGCGAAAAAGACAAGTTGGATGAGAATAGTGGGAGATTCGATTTGCATCGATGTTCCATTCATAAGCCAGCTGTCATGTGCCCGTTTGCAAGTCAAACAGACGGAGTGGAGAAGGGGACGAACGAACGTCATCCGATTGAGCGCGCTTCTACCAAAGATGGCGTCAGAAAAGCAAGATGGCGGACTTTGTTTACAAGCAAAGAAGAGAATCCACATGTTGAATCACAATTCGATAAAAACGTCAAAACTCGGTTTGGAATTGAAATAGAACGATAAGGGGCGATAATAATTAATCGCCTGTGGGATGGGCATGGATTATTAAGTTGAAAACGGGAAGAGTTATGTTCGGTAGAGAACGGAAGAGAGAAGGAAGGAAGAGAAGATGGCTACTTACTCGTCTCCAGCAGGACACACACCCGTTGTCTCGTCGTATTTCGTACAGTAAACATCTGGATTATAATTAAAAGTTCCGTCGCGTCTTCTAATAGGTCTTCTTCGCCGCTGATTCATGAAATGCCAATAGAAACATGTGAAGGGTTTATGCTGAGTACATTTATGTTGAAGGAATAGTGGACACTGCTCCACGCGGAACTCTTTTAGATACCTGAAGGGTTTCGATATTACTATTTTGATTGTTTAACTTTAATTTTTTTTTCAAACGTGTCCGACACTTACGTGTAGTGTATCGGCTTCTCAGCTTGGGTGGTCAAAGCGACGTTCTTCGCGTCCGACGACGTCGACGGCATTTTGGAATTGTTCCTAAATACCTCTTTCTGCGCATCCACAATTGCGCAAGGCACGCTGTGACGTAATGCTAATACCGTTGGTTACTTATTGGTCACGTGAATTGGCGCTCGACGAGATTGGATCGAATCGTCACGTGGTTAGGACAACTGTCACTCGCTGTTGTTCTGTCAACGTGGATCTCGTGTGAGTTTTGATTACTTTTCACTGGTTTCTATTTTATGGCTTTTGCAAAAATCCTATCGTTGTGCTTACGTTTCGTATTTATCATTATCTGCGCTATGTCAGTTTAAAATTTTAATTTTCTTCACTACTTTATCCTTGCGCAATTATTTTTAAATTAAATTATGTCCAAAATAAAATGCAACCAATACCTTCATCGTTGCCTAATAATTAAATCTTATTTCCGTAGATAATTAAAAATATATTTGCATTAAATTAATAGGGTGTTATTAAATCATTGTGTATATATTTATAAATTCTAATGCACCAGAAACGTGAATAATAATAATAATATACTGTGTATTAATATGATGTTCAGGAAAGATCTTAAAATTTACAGCCACAATCTTATATCTATATTATAAAGAAAACTCGAAAATTGATGTGATGTAATATAAAAAAAAACTCATACATAAATATTTAAATAACAAACTTTAATTAAAGTTACTTAATTATTTTTTTTTTACATTAAAATTTTAAAAGTTTTTATTTGATCCAAGAACATTTGATTTTAATGTATTTCCAATTTCAAAATCACATATTAATTAAACAATTTGTATCTAAATGAATTTGATCAAAAGTATAAAACTTAAACTTTTGATCATATTTTGATTTAAGGTTTAAAAATAAAACTTATTAAAAATGATCTTAAATTTTATTTAATAAATAATTTCAATAAATCATTGACTTTTCGAAATTAAAATGTTTCAACATAGACTCAAATATTTAAATTAAAAATACAAGTGCATTGAGTTCTGATAAATTATCATAACAATTAATTTAATTTTGGACTAAAAACAAAATGAAAAAATGTGTTTCTTATAAATTATTATAGATTTTAAAAAGTTATTTTTTAAAATATTGCTGTATATCATTAAATGAGTTATTCATATCAACAATTATGATTAATTCAATTCTAGATTTTACTTGTACAATAAATGTATAGACTTTGAATTTATTCTATTACATAAATAAAACTATTAATCGTATTTGAGTAGTTTTAAAGCAAAAATAATTTAAAAAATAAAATTTAAATCTCAGTTTTTCTAAATATTCATTTATTTATTAAAATTTATTATGAGAGGATGATATGATTGCATGTAGTATCATATTTGGTTAATTATTAATAAACTTTCTACCAAATTTGTTGTAAAATAAATTAAAAAGATATCTAATTAACAATTAAAAATAATTTTAAAAATATATTAATACAAGAATGTTTACTTTGATGTGTTGAATATTCAATTGATTAACAAACAAATATATCTTACAAATTATTCAACATATAATACACATGTAAAAAATTTTACTGTGATTGATTATATAATTTTGCTGAATTTTTCAATCACTTATAAGCAGTTCACTATAAATTATACTCAATATACACAAGGTCCATATTTCTCAAAATATTATTAATGTTTTGGAAAATTTTTAATTATTCCAAAGGAGTTTAGTTGTTGACAAAAATAAACTATGTAATTTCTCTGACCTGTAACAAGTTTAATTAGTTATTTAAGAAAATATGAATTCACTTTCTGTTTTCATTTAATAAAATATTTGAAAAACCTATAAACAGTAAATAGAAATTTTTTTTCAATAATATATGAGTATTTTTTAAATTTATGTACTGTACTATATAAAAGTAATTTTAAATTTTATTTAGTTTTAAATTATTATTTATATATATTGTAAAACTTGAAAAATATATTTCTTGTATGGGTTATAAATACTGTCACTTTTCAATTTCTCTTATTATCATGACTACATGATTTCTATTTTGTTTAATAAGATATATTTTTATTTTATTTTTTTTCATTTGTTTAATTAAAGAGAGAAAATTTTGAGTGAAGTTTTTGTAAATATCCTTGAATAGCTTATCAGAATTTATCAGAAAAAAATGTAACCACTCAAAATTTATAAAAATAACCACCGAAAAAAAATTATGTACAAATAAAAAATTTTAAAATTCATCAGAAAATTAAACAATACTCTATTTAATAAAAGAGAATTCATAAAAATCCAAATATATTATAAAAAGTCAATTACAATTCATATTGATAATCAGAAATTGTAATTGATTAATTTACTAATGATAGAAAATTATTTCCAATCTAAACTACTCATAATAAGTTATGACAATCTAGATTAGATTTCAATCTGAACAATTATAAGACTAAGTAATCAGTTCTAATGAGAGAATTTCATAGCCTAAAAAATTTATCACAGATCACTGGTTGTAAATGATTTATGTAAATGCAAAGAGACTGGAATGTCAACTGTTAAATAGATGACGAACTGTCTCCAAATAAATAATGAAGATATTGTAACCATAATGAAAGAATTTATAATGATGAATGATGGAAGATATTACAAATTATTTGTTCTTAATTTTCAGATTGTCCATGAAATTACACAATTACACCTTTATGTATCTATTCTTACTCAATGAGTTTTCTTTGCTTCTTCATATCAATGATTATCACTTCTACTCTATGTATAAAAAAAGTCAATAAAGAATAATCTTGGAACATTATGGGGATGAATGAAGTATATTTTCATTTGTAAAATTATATAATCTAGATGACAAAGCCATTTTGAGTTAAGAAAATGTATGTACTAAATATTTTAATGGCTCCTTATTAAAGATTGTTAATATTTAATGTTCAATAAAGTTCTTTGAATAATTGAAGACCTGAATGGATGATGTTATGTTGCAATCACTCAAAATCCAATTGTTTTCATAGACGAAGGAATAATATATCCATCTCTCACATACCATCATCAAAGATCTCAGAAATTAAACACTAATACTCTCATGATACACTATTTTGTGGATTTACTTACACCAAAATAATTACGTAATAGAAACTTGAACACCAATTCACTTAAAACTTTGATTTTGTAATACATGTTCATCCACACGTCTTCAATTGTCAATTCAAGATTTGATTGTAACTGTAGTATTTCCTACTTGTAGCCAAACATCTGTTAAAATAATAACTGTAGGCATCAAGGTATTAGCTGTCAATATAACATGTTTACTGTAATTACCTAATTTGAATTTCTGAACTTAGGACAATCAAAACCTTATTGCTATATCAAATAGATTTCTTGCATCGATAATATCATGCAAACAAGTTTTTCACTTTCCAGCACACTTATTTAATAATTGGACAAATGTTTTTGANCTCAAAATTTATAAAAATAACCACCGAAAAAAAATTATGTACAAATAAAAAATTTTAAAATTCATCAGAAAATTAAACAATACTCTATTTAATAAAAGAGAATTCATAAAAATCCAAATATATTATAAAAAGTCAATTACAATTCATATTGATAATCAGAAATTGTAATTGATTAATTTACTAATGATAGAAAATTATTTCCAATCTAAACTACTCATAATAAGTTATGACAATCTAGATTAGATTTCAATCTGAACAATTATAAGACTAAGTAATCAGTTCTAATGAGAGAATTTCATAGCCTAAAAAATTTATCACAGATCACTGGTTGTAAATGATTTATGTAAATGCAAAGAGACTGGAATGTCAACTGTTAAATAGATGACGAACTGTCTCCAAATAAATAATGAAGATATTGTAACCATAATGAAAGAATTTATAATGATGAATGATGGAAGATATTACAAATTATTTGTTCTTAATTTTCAGATTGTCCATGAAATTACACAATTACACCTTTATGTATCTATTCTTACTCAATGAGTTTTCTTTGCTTCTTCATATCAATGATTATCACTTCTACTCTATGTATAAAAAAAGTCAATAAAGAATAATCTTGGAACATTATGGGGATGAATGAAGTATATTTTCATTTGTAAAATTATATAATCTAGATGACAAAGCCATTTTGAGTTAAGAAAATGTATGTACTAAATATTTTAATGGCTCCTTATTAAAGATTGTTAATATTTAATGTTCAATAAAGTTCTTTGAATAATTGAAGACCTGAATGGATGATGTTATGTTGCAATCACTCAAAATCCAATTGTTTTCATAGACGAAGGAATAATATATCCATCTCTCACATACCATCATCAAAGATCTCAGAAATTAAACACTAATACTCTCATGATACACTATTTTGTGGATTTACTTACACCAAAATAATTACGTAATAGAAACTTGAACACCAATTCACTTAAAACTTTGATTTTGTAATACATGTTCATCCACACGTCTTCAATTGTCAATTCAAGATTTGATTGTAACTGTAGTATTTCCTACTTGTAGCCAAACATCTGTTAAAATAATAACTGTAGGCATCAAGGTATTAGCTGTCAATATAACATGTTTACTGTAATTACCTAATTTGAATTTCTGAACTTAGGACAATCAAAACCTTATTGCTATATCAAATAGATTTCTTGCATCGATAATATCATGCAAACAAGTTTTTCACTTTCCAGCACACTTATTTAATAATTGGACAAATGTTTTTGAACTGCTTTACAGATCATCTTTGTGTCTAACCTATACATTAACATATTTTTTGTTCTATTTTTGTAACATTAGAATATTGAAAATACATTTAAAACTATTTTTAAAATATGGAATTTCTTGCATCAAATTATATGATCTCTATTGCTCTTCTGATTTCCAGAAGTTACAGGTATGGAATAACTCTTTAAAACATTTTCTTTAGAGCCAATTTTCACCTACAAATTTGAAACTGCCAATCTAATTGTTGGTCACCCTTAGAATACAATTCTAATTTTCATTTTACTACTGACTTAACAAATTTTTCATGAAAAATACAGTAGAGCATTGTTTATCCAAATCAATTGGGGACTGGGGTTGTTCGGATAACCAATTATGTACGGAAAAATATATTAATTTATCCCGTGTTGAAATTTTTCTCTGTTGCGTGTCGCTTCGTGTTGAATTTTTATTTCGACGTTAAGCCTAACGAAGACTTTTGTATCGTTAAAAATTATTTTTTTTATTTTGTACAAACAAAATAAATATATTGAAAAATATAAAAACAATAAAAAATTATACTTCATAAGTCAATTTAGTATCAAAAACGTAAAATATTTGAGTAGCCAAAGACATAGCCAAAGATTACAGCGCCACATCACTTTATTTTTCTTAACTCTTTCCGCCCTGTGGGCACTAAGAGAACCTCTTTTTGCAGGCCCATTATGGGTTCGGCCAGGCCCACAATGAGGCCGCCGGGTGGTGAGAGACAAGGCCCGGCATATCCAAACGGACCACCTTCCGAAAAATACCTGGGGATTTTTCGACCAGTTCGAATTCGAACCCGGGTCCCCCAGAGCGGTAGGCTGCCACCTTGACCTCTCGGCCATCCGGCCGCAGCGCCACAGCACTGGCGAAAATTTAAATTTGTCGACTGGAATTCCTTCGGATAACCGACCTTCGGATAAACAACGCTCTACTGTTTTAATATTCGGCTGCGAATGGTACAGTTCCTTAGAGTTAATATTAAGGAAAAAATGATATCTTAAATATTTTAAGATATTATATGGCTGATTTAATTGCTTACTACTTGATGGATGAACTTGTATTATTGCGTATCTTTCAAGTACCGCGATAAACGTAACAATGGAAGGCTGATATAACCAAACACATTTTATGCTTTTCGCTTTAGTGTTCGTTATATTGTAGTATTTGATTTATATAACTACAAAGGCAGTTATATAACGTTAAAGGTAGTTATATAGTTACGTAGGAGTATATCACATCGAGTGACCAATCTAAGACATTTTTAAAATTTTTTATTTTTACTGTACTGTACATAATTTTAAAAT